TTTACACAATGGAATACTATGCAGCAGAAAGAAAGAAGGAGCTCCTACCCTTTGTGACAGCATGCATGGAACTGGAGAGCACTATGCTAAGTGAAATAAGCCAGGCAGTGAAAGTCAAATACCATACGATCTCACTTACAAGTGGAACCCAGTCAACAAAACAAACAAGCAAGCAAAATATAACAAGAGACATTGAAATAAAGAACAAACTGACAGTAACCAGAGGGGAGTTGTGAGGGGATCACAGGGGCAAAGGGGAAAGGGTGGTCAAGGAACATGTCTAAAGGACATATGGAGAAAGCCGAAGGTGGATAGCATCGAGGGTGGGAATTGAGGATAGCTGGTTTGGGTGGCAGTAGGGGGTGGGAAATGAAGATAATTGTACTTAACAACAATTAAAAAATAGATAAAATAAAAATAAACATAATCTAATCAAGAACATGTACTCTATGTTTTGGTAGGTAACATTTAAAATTAGTATAAGGAGGCTGGTTTGTTCAATCTCAACTTCTATCCTTATGTCTATTTAACACCAGAAGAATTTGAAATTGGTATAATGGATACTAGAAAATTTTTTTTTAACTGGTGAAATAAGTAGCATGCAAAGTATATGGATTGGCTAGAAATGTTGTATAGACCTTACCAATTTTACATGAAGAATGATAATATAATAAAAAAATAGAATAATAATGTAATAATTCTTATATAATAGTATAAGAATCCAGCAAGCTCAGGAGCCTATGTGCTTGTGGGTGTTCCCCAAACCTTAAAATTCCACTAGGTTCTACGTTCAGCAACTTTCAGATGATACTGTAATCTAATCTAACTATGCAGTTACCTGGTTCTTGTCATTAGAATATCATCATACCTACCTTAAGTGACCCTTTCATGCAGAGGGTCTAAAAGTGTTGAAAAGTGTTGAAGACATCTGGGACTCCACTGGGCTTACACAACAGTTTGTATAACTGTTTCTGTATGCACTGCTCATCATTCAGCCTGAATCTGGTTGAATTTCACTGTATAAAATACCACCTAGTAGTCAGGTTATGGGGAGACTATTACTTCACTCATCTCTACCTATTGGAAACATAACAGCTCACAAGTGGATCCTAAGTTGTGATGACCTAGTTTTCTGAGGTCTGTCTGAGCATGAAGAATGAGATTGGCAGGGCAGTGAACATTCTTTGCACTTCTGTGTGACTGTGCACATAGCGTTAGTGTGATGGGGATTCCAGGAAATACATTACTGGTACCTAGAGGGCTAGCCTCTTGAGGGAGCCAGAAGATAGTGCCCTTGGCTGTGCCAGCTGTTGTTGGGGTGCACTGGGGCAGCAGCAGTTGGTATCCTCCAAAAGAGGTTGCCCTCCTTGCCACACTTGTTCCTACATTTGTGTAAGATTATTTTGGAAAGCTCTAGAAATAACTGGGTTAGTTTGAGGGTGCTCAGAGGACCTAAGCTCTACACTTGCAGCCATGAGAGAGCCAAATACAAATTAGTATGTTTCATGAGACCTATTTGTACCCTCAGCAGTGTATGTAGAACATAAATTACAAGTTCTCTAGGGAGTCCTGTATGAGGAGCTGTAAAAATAAGTTATTGAAGTGGGAGCATGAAGAAGCCCTTATCTTCCCAATGGATCTGGATCCTAAGGTGGGGTTGGTGCCTCCTTTCAAAGTAGGGAGTGCTCAGAGGAAGTGATGAAGTGGGTTGCATTGAACTCCCTTTGTGGGTATAGTGAGGGGGACTACCCTACACCACTTTATCCCAGGAGAAGAGCCAGGGATGATGACCAATTCTTATCTCTCAGACCCAGGAGCTGAAACTCTATAGTCTTTTTTATTTTTTTAAATTTTTATTTGGCAGTTTTATTTTATTTTTTTATTTTTTAAAGATTTTATTTATTTATTTTTAGAGAGGGAAGGGAGGGATAAAGAGAGAGAGAGAGAGAGAAACATGAATGTGCAGTTGCTGGGGGCCGTGGCCTACAGCCCAGGTATGTGGCCTGACTGGGAATCGAACCTGTGACATTTTGTTTCACAGCCGCATTCAATCCACTGAGCTATGCCAGCCAGGGCTATATAGTCTTTTCTAAAAATATATTTTATTGATTATGCTATTATAGTTGTCCCAATTTTCCCCCTTTGTCTCCCTCCACCGGGTACCTGCCATTCCCTCTGGCAATCCACACCCCCTTAGTTTATGTCCATGGGTCATGCATATAAATCCTTTGGCTACTCCATTTCCTATACCATTCTTAACACCCCCTTGTCTATTCTGTACCTATCAATTTGTACTTCTTAATCCCCGCATCATTTCCCCCTTGCTCTCTTCCAACTGATAACCCTCCAAATGATCTCCATACATATGATTCAGTTTCTGTTCTGCTTGTTTGCTTAGTATGTTTTTTAGATTCAATTGTTAATAGTTGTGAATTTATTGCCATTTTACTGTTCATAGTTTTGATCTTCTTCTTAAGTCCTTTTAACATTTCGTATAATGGCTTTGTGATGATGAACTCATTTAGCTTTACCTGGTCTGGGAAGCACTTTATCTGTCCTTTAGTTCTAAATGATAGTTTTGCTGGATAGAGTAATCCTAGTTGTAGATCCTTCCTTTGCATCGCTTTGAATATTTCTTGCCAGTGCCTTCTAACCTGCAAATTTTCTTTTGAGAAATCAGCTGAGTCTTATGGGAACTCCTTTGCAGATAGCTCTGTGATTTTTCTCTTGCTGCTTTTAAGATTCTCTCTTTATTTTTAATCTTTGGCAGTTTTCTAAAAAAATACTTTATTTATTTATTTTTAGACAGAGGGGGAGAAAGAAAGAAAGAGAGAGAGAGCAACATTAATGTATGGTTGCCTCTCAAGCACCCCCTACTGGGGACCTGGCCCACAACCCAGGCATATGCCCTGATTGGGAATGTAACCGGTGACCCTTTGGTTCCCAGCACACACTCAGTCCACTGAGCCACACCAGCCAGAGGGGCAGTTTTAATTATGATGTGTCTTGGTGTGTTCCTCTTTCTGTCCATCTCTGTGCTTCCTGGACTTGTATGTTTATTTTCTTCATCACATTAAGGAAGTTTTCTTTCATTATTTTTCAATTTCTTGCTCTTTTTCTTCTCCTTCCAGCAATCCTATGATTCAAGTGTTGGAATGTTTGAAGATGCCTCAGAGGCTCTTTAGCCTATCCTTGTTTATTTCTTTTAGTCTTTTTTCTTCTTGCCATTCTGATTGAATGTTTTTTGCTGCTTTATGTTCCAAATCATTGATTCGATTCTCATCTTCATCCACTCCACTGTTGGTTTCCTGTAAATTGTTCTTTATTTCACTTACTGTAAACTTCTTTTCTAGCTGGGTCTTTTTTATTTGGTTGAAGTATCCAGTGAGTTTCTTGAACAGCCTAATGACCAGTGTTTTGAACTCTGCATCTGATAGATTGCTCATTCATTTCATTTAGTTTTTTTTCTGGGGTTTTGTTCTGTTCTTTCACTTGGGCCATATTTCTTTGCCTCCTCATTTTGGCAGCCTCCCTGTGTTTGTTTCTATGTACTAGGTAGAACTGCCTTGATTCCTTGTCTTAGTAGCAGGGCCAATTGTAGAAAAGTACACCAGTAAGTTGAATGGGGTGGAGCCTTAGGTAATCATTGCCAGTGCAGGGCAACTCATGTAAACCAAGTTGATGGAATCTCATACACTGTCACTGCTCTGTGGCTCTGTGTGGGGGAGAGCTCATAAAGGGAACAAATTTGTTGCCTGGCCTCTGGAGTTTTGTACAGAAGCTGTCCCCTGGCACTCATCCTGATACCAGACCCTTCAATTTCTCCCTGTATGTCACTGGTTCCATTTCAGCTGCTGCCCCAGTGCTGGATCCCAGAGGGAGTGAGTCTGTGTAAGTTCTAAGTCTGTTGTGGGCCCTTTAAGAGGAGACTGCTGACAATCCCACAGTTTCTCCTGCCATCCCAAGCCACACTGGTTTTTACAACTAGAAGTTATGTGGACTTATCTTCCTGGCACTGGAACTCTGAGCTGGGTAGTCTGGTGTGGGGCTGGGATCCCTCACTTCTGAGGTATCCCTCCCAATTTTTATCCACCAAATGTGAACTATTGACTGGTAAATGAAAACTATTTCTCTACTCATAACATTTTTGACACCAAATGTGTGGGGGTTTTTTTTCCTGCATTAAAACAATTTCAACACTAACTACTTAGGGTTAGCACAGACCCCACAAGTTAAGGACTCAATCCCAGAAGACTGTCTCCACTTTGTTCACCAATCACAAGTGGTGGGTCTCCAGGTTATCCTCACTTCTGTCTCACTTGACTATAAATCAGGGCTTCCTACAACCCCCTCCTAAGTTTCAATAATTACCTATAATTGCTTAAAGAACCCAAGGAAAAACTCTACTATTACCAGTTTATTATAAAGGACTTAATAACAATATAAGGGAACAGCCAGATGAAAAGGTACACAAGATGAGGTCCTGGAAGGGCTCTAAGCACAGAAGCTTCTGTTCCTGTGGAGTCTGTGGTGTGCCACCCTCCCAACATATTAATGTGTTCTCATTTACAAACCCAGAAACTCTCCAAACTCCTTTGTTTAGACTTTTGATAGAGGTTCCATTACATAGGCATGATTGATAAAATCATTGGCTCTTGGTGACTAACTCAATACCCAGCTCCTTTCCCCTCCCTGAAAATAGACAGGTGGGGCTAAAAGTTTCAACCCACTAATCATGTGCTTAGTTCCTCTGGCAACTAGCCCCACTCTCCAAGAGTCACCTCAGTTGGGTAGACTCTGGTATGTTTTTTCTCCATGGGACTAGCCAATATTCCTGCAGATGGTTCTGGGGCTCCTATAAGTGTGGCATCACTCTTTTAAAGTATCTTGGGTTCTTAATGTCACAAGCTTTAATATGTCAGAATTGTCATAAAAGAGAGAGTTTGCACTGCATTTGCCAAGACCACTTATTTGAATAATTTAACTCAATAACCAAAGGATAAATAAGGTCCATGTTTATTCATCAATATAAGACGTATGAATGACTGTCATACATCTTTGTAAGGCAATGAAATACAGCTGAATGAAATGATGTTCAGAAATAAAATATGTACATGAAATATGCAATCACCACATTATGAATCCACTTTTATTCTTTATCTACACAGATACACCTCATTGGAAGGACCCACTGACATCTACCAGCTGAAACAACTACAAAATACATGTAAGGCAACACATGTACACTCAGGTATATGATGTTTGCTGCTCTTCTGAATAAGTAGTAGTTGAGTTGTAAGCCTTCATGGAAGGCGAAACTGCTTATGTAAAGATCAATTATAAAAAACACACCTGAATAAAATGGAGCTAGGAGAAATATATAGAATTTCTAGTATGAGAAAGTGTAGGCTCATGTTATGCAAGGAAGTAATCTTAATCTAGGAATTAACATCTAATAAGTACAGCATCAAGTTTTATTTAGGAAACAAAGCAGTTTGCCTTTTGGAAATATAACTTTCACCCTAAAAAAGGCTTTTAGGGGAGCATCATAATGAATGTGAAGATGAACTTCGATTCTAACTTAAGAAAAACAGAAAGAAGTAAAAAAATAAAATAAAGAGCAAAAGTAAAGCTGGGACCATGATGGCTGGGGAGAATTGAGGGGCAGTGGTTGTGTACCCTGTACCCATGACCAAATTGCCAGAAAGCAGAGAGCTGGGCTGAGTCTATGGAGCACAGCCAGGGAGGTGCCCTGGGTCCCCCCTGTCACTACACTTTCACAGATGAATTTTCCTAATGAGACTCCCTCAACTGGCTGACAGCCAACTGAACAAACACATGCACACATACTGGTTGCCTTCATCTAACTGCTGGGGTCAGGAAGTGGGGCAGGAAGGACAAAAAAAGGAATGAAATGAAGAGCAAGACCCTCATTTCCCTAGTATCAAATTCATATTTTGATTCTAAAACAAGAAAAATTTTGATACATTAATTTTTATAAAAATGATTAAAATTTGAAATATTCAGAACTCTTTCAAAATACATTCACATTAAAGTATGCCATGACAGTGGCAGCATGCCTATTAACATTTTTGAGGAAAGAAAGCAAGGTAATATTAACTCAGGAAAAAAACAATTAAAAAAGAAACCTATGGTACTCAACAAACATGAGAATTATCTAATTTTAACCTAGAAATCTATTCCCCAAGTTGGCTCAGGTGACAATCCATTTCTATTTCAGAGATTTCTGTGCTACAAATGGAAGCATGAGCTCTTCCTCCCTGATTTTTAAGTAGCAACAGATTCTGAGTAAATGCTGGTATCTTAAAAATTACAAATGTGGACATGATTTTGCCTTAACAGTTTGTAAGGTATATTTCTCTCCAGGCAGTGAGAAGTGCCACATCAGTGTTTAATTTGCTCCATTTACTGAAAGAGCAACTGCCTAATTCAAGTGAGTGAAGCCATGTAACCTCATTAAGACACTGGAGGTGAAATACAGGCTCTCAAATCTTAATGGATTCTTGGAAAAATCAATCACAATAGCTCCAGTCTAACCAGACTCAGCTTCTATGTGTCCATGCTAATTGCCCCCTCTGCTGTGCCATCACAGTGGCAATCTACCAAGTTGGGGCTCTCGCTGGAGCAGCCACACATGGGTTTGGAAGAATGCAACAGAATAAGCAGGAGACTTAAATTTCTCCCCTTTCACCTCACTCTAGACTGTAATAATCAACTCTGCAATTCAAACTATCCTCAGCAATCCTGTAAAAGGCACCCTGCTGGCATGGGGATGCCTCCTAATCCAAATGTGGAAATTCAAAGATCTAGTTTCAAAGTAGAGTCTCCTTTCTAAACCTTTTGTGAAAAAGTCACAACCACTAAATTCAGGGTCATCAGTGGATTCATTTGGCAAAGAAATAATTCCTTTATCTGGCCTAAGCTGTGTCTTCCATGTGTGGTGGAGCTTGGGGAACGTTTATCTGCCAATGTGAGGCAGAACGGGAGCTGGATGCAAACTGCACATCATGCAAAAGACCTCTGCTCCATTTGGTAGAGAATGCTCACCACAGGCCTGAAAAGCCTTCCATGTGGGCTTTCAAATCAGACCCTTGTGTCTTATTTAGCGTTTGAGTAAATGCCAGCTCTCTGTGGTCTGAGTATTAATGTGTGTACTGGCTTATATTTTTCCAGACTCTATGAATACCATCAGCTAAAGATAGCACAGCAATATAACACTTCAGTCACAGGACCTTTTTTTTAAAGGAAACTAAATTAAACATTTTATGCATAGTCACATAACAGGAACAGCAGAAACCAACCTTGGATAAATGCATAGGCCAAAGGAAAAAAGAAATGCATCATAATGTAAGAGCCAAGGCTAGAAAAGAGTAAGTTTCATAGCTAGCATGACCACTAAATTGGCATGTGGCCTTAACTAAATTAAACATTTTCTTCTTTCCCTACTTCCTCATTACCTTACACATGAAAATAAGGACATTGGTAGATAGTTGTTCATGGGTATGCTATAAGGATTCACTAGGTGTATATAAAAAATAATGGAGAAAAGCCAATACAAGTTAAAACTGCCCTCACAAATATAGCCACCACATTATTCTTATTTCATTTCATTGATTTTGTGACAGAAAGAGCCTAGAACAATTTATAGCCAAAAATTAAGATACTATTTCAGCGGATCTCAATAGAGTAGTTATTTGGAAATGGAAAGTGTGAGGAAAGTGTGAGAAGCTGAATGGTGAGCTTGGTGTTGGGTGTGTAATTGGAGTTAAGTGTAGTTTTGCATTGTGTCTTTTTCATAAAGAACCCATGCCATGCTTTATTCTTGAGTGGCCCTGTGCCTTTTTGTTCCATACACAGTAGATCTTATTTCCCTTATTAAATATCTGTAATAAAATGGTATAGGAGCTCAGGAACAAGAAGAAACTTCCAACTGGAAATCCTGCTTATGTCCAAAAACATGAGCAGAGGTGTCCCCATCACCTTTGATTTCTAATCCTCCTTCTTCACAACCACCAAACCTCATGAGACTCCATGTAGGTAAGATCATGAGGCTCCAAAATTGTTTGAGTTTACTTGAGGACTACTTCCCAAGTCACTTCAACATTGGAAGCACAGCACTGTCCTTCCACAGGATAAACAAGTCCCATCTTGTCCACAAGTTTGGCATGAGGAAAGCTCTCATCACTGTTAACATTATTTCAAAGGTTTTTAAAAACCAACCATAAACATATATCTCTTGCACCACCTCTCAAAACCAGTGTATTTCACATGGATGAGTGTTCAGTCAGAAGAAAGCAGGGATACATTATGAAAATGCATATTACCATATTCATGTGAAATAAAATCAGTTACTTGGGAGAAACTGATGCACTTGGAGGAAAATGCATAATAAATGGAAGAATGTCTGATGCCTCTTGTCCTAGAATTCAAAGAAAGTTTATATTCCAGAAAGCAAATTATTTATTGATTGGGTTTACCTGATTTTAGACCACATCAAAATAATAAAGGCTAAGAAACTAAGTGTTCAATTGACTCAGAATTTTTTTTTGGTGATACGGTTACCCTTTTGAAAGGCATAGTTCATTGACTGGAAGAAGTTTTCTTCCTCTAAATTCATCCTCCAAGTTTTAAAATAAATATCCAGTATGATTGTGCTAGTACACTGAGAAATAGCAGAAATAAACACCCCTTGTCCTATGACTAAAATCAAGAAATAAAAATAAAAAATAAAAAACTCAAGAGGGCAGGAAAATATCTTCCCAAGTGTGTACTACCACAGAGTGTGAGAAAGTGAAGAAAAGGGTGTGGGGTTTGCCTGTACCCCTGGGACCAACACACTGGGAGTCCCCCTGGAGTGCCCCTGAGTTCGTGGCAGCCCCCACTCCCCCAAGGCCACCAGTCATCGTGGAGGTCAAAGCATCAGAACTGCTGATTTTTCCAAAAATCTCAAAGCAGCAGCAATCCCAGCAGTTTTCCTGCAAAGCAAACAAAATATGACTCTTGTTAATTCAATAGGGCTTTTAAAATTGCAATTAGTTGGTGTGCCCTTAGGAAAACCACACATGATTTTTTTTTATAATGTATGTGTGAATGTGAGAGAAAAAAAGAGACCCCTTGAAGGATTCCAAATCCTTACCAGAGTGGGTTTGGGCTTTTTTTTCTTTTCAGTTTATACAAGATATTTTAGTACTATTTGCCATATTGAAGGACAAGGCCTCTTTGTTCCCTCTGCAGCACAGCCAGCTCCCAAAGTTGCTACCTCCAGTCCATTCTGTCAGCTTGATCTGACATGAAAGTGAGACTGTGGGTCACGCGTGGGGTACTTCCATTTGCTTTAGGACCACATCTGACCTGGGGCCCACATACCATTTGCTGCCTTATATCATTCCTATACATTGAGCAGGTATCCTAAATTTACATCTCATGGGCTAACAAAAGATGCAATGCAAACAGAAAGTGAAGTGCCACCATTTTTAGAGAGATTTTTAGAGTGCTTCCTCAATGCATCAAAAAGCCTTTAACAAGCTGCAGGAGATTTATATGCCATAATTCACATTGTGGATTATGCCTTATTCATAGGGCTTGGAAGTCATACTTTTTCCACAGAAATAATCTTTCAACCACCAGATTTCTAAAATCAATATTTCTCAAAGTGGGTTTTACTTATAACATGTCTTGCCAAAAACCCCATCTTAGCCTAGCAGTAAATATTGTGAAAAATAATCTATTTTTTAAAAAATATAAGGCTGCTCCTGGAGTTAATATCTTAAGCTTGTACATTAATTGGGGAAAAAAAGGTAAGAAAATAGACTAGGAAGCAATCACATTGTGTGAACCTGTAACCACTCTCTCACCTGCCTGTGGTGGGACCTGGTGACTTTCTGTGGCAGATGGAGCTGAGGGACCCAGGGAAGGAAGGCATGCAGCCCAGTGATTACCAGGGGTTGACCTGATCAAGTTCAAGGAGAGATCTCAAGTTATTTTAACAAAGATGGCACTACCTAACTGCACCAGTGGGACAGTTGAAATGCCTTAATCTTTGTCCACTGTATAAGTGTCACTGCCTGGGCTGCCATGCTCTTCCACAGCATTGGACTCAAAGCACCAACTTGGTATAGACAGACTTTACCACCTCCCACCAGCCATTTCTTCCCTCCTTCCCCAGCCACACCTTGACCACAGGCAAGCAATGCAACCTCCTGTCTCCCAAGGGATTCATTCCCATCAGACCTCAAAAGTGACTCCAGTGTTTATGGTGGGAAGGTGGTTTATGCCAAACCTTCCAGGTTTGTGGTAACTGAGGACAAAACTGGTTTTGGGGAAGGGGTTTGAGAGGAGACAGAAAGAACCACAGAGGCCCACTGCCTGTAGACTCTGGCACTCATCACTCATGGTGAAGGCTGGACTGCACCTCAGGCCTGAGAGCACATAGAGTCCTTTATTCCTGCTCATTGTGACAATATACAAACTACCTCCAACTCTTCCCAAAATGTTAATATTCTTGCTTAAGCACAAGCCTTCATGTTGACTTTTCATAGATTTCTAGATAAGTGATAAACTCATAAGTAAGTGACCCTTACACCAAAAGGTGAATCCTTTTCTAACACTGGTTTGTGACTTTTATTATGACTCATTGATTTATTTCTACCAAATCTTATTCTATAAAAGATTCAAGGCAGCTTACAAGAATATACACAGTCAAATAGACTAACAAAAACCTCAAGACCAGGATAAATACAAGTTAGAATAAAGGATTAAGAGCCAATGGGTCTCTTCAGACTGTAGCAGTTGCTGAGTGCCCAGGAAGGACTGGGCAGACCCTAGGCCATTGGGAGCTCATGAAGATGTTGGGTCCCAAAGCTACAGAGACACCTGTGAGGCTGGCTGTGGCCTCTGAGTTCCCATCCCCAGGCCAAGCCAGAGCCAGAGCCCAGCCAGGCTGCCAAGCACTTGCCACCTCCTGTGCACTCCTGTGATTCATTAATGCTGAGGATGGCCACGTTTGATTACATAATAAAAGAGTAAGACCATAGGGCAGCAACAACACAGGTTAACAAATTTTAAGTCCTATATCGTTGTTAAAATTGAGTTGCAAAAAAGCCATAGACTTACTTTCCAAGATTAGAAAGCTGACTTGCTGGAGGATGAATGGTCCCCCCCAACAAGGACATAAATGTTGGGATTTTTAAAAGTCCTCTGCAATAAGTATGCTTTCTTAGGCTTCTCCTTTAGGGCATAAGTTGGGATAGTTTATTGAGATAGTAGAAGATATTCATGCATAAAACTATCTCTTAAGAATTTCAACAGCTCAAGGGGAAAAAATGGGGGTTTTAAATTCAGAGACACCTGAGAGGATTACGCTCTGCCACTGACTAGCAGTATGGCCTTGGGTGAGTTATTTAGTCTGAGTCTTCGAGGCTTGGTTTACCTGTGTATGCAAAAAAGACATGACTTCCTCCAGTATAACACGGTTGTGGTAAGGACTACCAGAGACACTTTCTATTCAGTTCCTGGCACCTATTAAGCCCCTACTATGTTCCATGACCTGGTCTCAGGGCTTTGCTTGGATTATCTCATCAAAGCCACTCAAAAGCTTAGGAAGTAAGACTATCTCCAACCCACAAATCCAGAAGCTAAAGTTTCTCTGCTAGAAAATGGCAGAGACAGGGTGCAAATATTGCAGTCTGATTTTTCCCCCACCCCACTTCTGCCCTGCTTCCCACACAGTACAATGCACATTTGATTTCTCTTCAGGCTTGCACAAAGACCTCTTCAAAAAAAGACCCAAAGACCAACCTTTCACTGGGCACTTTCTGTAGACTATTTGGTCACAAATTCCCGAGTATTGGAGCTGTAATTCTTCTTCTTCTAGGAAAACCAGAGACATTTTGGAAAGGATTAGAACTTTTTTCATCAGTTCCTGACATAAGAACATTTGAGTCAATAACTTGCTACTGAGTAGGAATTTTCTTCAAGACAAGATCTTGAAGCCTATTGCTAACAATCCTTTGATCAATACAATGAACTTCCCTAAAAGTCTAGCTCGAACACATACCCCACTCTCCTCTAGTGTGCCTGTCATCACTACTCTTCCCCTCAGACTCAGGGACAAAGAGCTCAGCACCTAATGACACTTAAGTTTTGCACATGTGTGCAAAACTCCCTTTGACACACACTCACTTAGACAAAGCACAAGAGTCAAGACTGAAACTGGGGCTGCAGTGACTACAAAGATGAGTAAGACACAGAAATGGCTTCTTTCAAACATTTTCAAATCTGGTGACAAAAGCTAAGTGCTACAAGAGAGGTTCAAGAAGACAGAAAAAGCACCTCCAGTTTGAGGATTGAGAAGAGCCATGTTAAAGGAGATGGCATTGAAAATAGGCCTAAGACAATTGCCACAATTTCAGCTGATCTGGAAGGAGCAGCAAAGACAAGACTGGAAACAGAGATAAGGATATACTGGAGCAGGCCCAGACTTTTGGGTGTCTCTGGTGTAGACAGAAGGAACACTTGAAGATTGTTTGATCAGGAGTGAAATGATCAGAGTTGTAATTAAAGAAATTATGGTCGGTGAATTAGAAAAGAGAGCCAATAGAGATTGAATGTCAGCTCATGGGTTATTTTATTAGTTCAGTAAATTGAAAGAAGGGCATGAGCTAACAGAGTAGCACTGGTAATGGAAAGGGACAATAGAAGGCTTATTAGTTAACTCTTGGAGAAAAAAAAACATGTTGTATTTGTTGTTTTTCTTCCTTCATCCCCAAAGCATTTATTGTCTGCGGTAGAAGCTTGACAAGTTCTAATAGATTAATAGTTTGGGAAATGCCTTGATCCACTCCAGCTGAGAACTGTGTTTGTTGGAGGATAGGCTACATATGGATGGTTGGGGTCATAAGAAAAGCCGAGAACCACAGCATGCCCTCTTGAGCTTAACACAGAAGGCACCTTAATTTTTAAGAAAAAAATTATTTTTAAATTTAGTGACTGAATAGAGGCATGCCGAGTGATTAAGAAGCAGTAAGTGCTTTTAAGCATGAAACCAGCAAAGGGATTTTTAAAAAGTTTATAAATGGCTTTTAAAAAATATAATTAAGATTTAATAGTAAATAGTTTGGGATAAGGGTTAAATTTTCACAATCAGCTTAAATTATTATTTTATAAAACATATCAGAATGAAGATTTTTCCAAAAATGAATCTTCTAGAACAATTTAGTCTCAATATTTCACTATAAAGTAAAATACAGTAAGTTTGAATATTGGCTTTCAATAATACCAAAAGTGTACAGTAAGTACATGAGTTGTTCTTGAAACATCATAAGGCCCCTTTCACCTAGTAGCCCATTACCTGGTGAGATAGCAAAGGGAGGAAGCCCCACCCTATGCCAGAGCCTGCCTGCCTCTGCTGGGATTCTGGCTTATCACTAGCACCTCATGGGATCACATACAAGTACTGAACCCTGTCCTCAGTTTCCTCATCTACATACTGAGGATAATAACAATGCCTGTTTCATAGGATTGGCATAAGGATTAAATGAATTAATATTTGTATAGCAGTCAGAACAGTGCCTGGAACAGTGCCATGTAATTATAATTTCATGATAACTAACTTGACTTATACAATGAAAAAATTTTTTAATCTTTACACCATTTTTGAAATATCTAGCCACCTTAAGTACCAGCAGTTAGATAGAATAACAAAAAGGTGATTTTTGTTGTTGTTGTTGTTACATGGTTTTAAAAATATTTTTAAACACTTTCTGAACTGTATAATGTCATTAACTATCTTCTGTGGTTTCCATATTGTCCTGCCATGTCAAAGTGTATTTAGACACCAATAAGCTTGGGTAAAAATGTGTTGGTGGAAAATTGGCCCAAAATAGGTTGGGAACCCTAATAAGCAGTTTATGTAGTCCGGGGAAGGTACCAACTAAGCAATAAGTCTATTTTTACTTGACATCAGTACCAATTATCAAGGAAAGGTATATTCAGACACAAATAAAATTTAGTACTGATGCTGAATTTAGTCACAAAATTAAATTCAATAAAAATTGAATGTGGAAAAAATGAGTACCTGAAGCATAGTCATTCCAAGGTTTGCTGGTCAGTGGAAAAGTTTCATTCCCACACCCCAGGGAATTGGAGAGGGCAGGACAAGGAGCACAGATGAAGGAAATAGAAGTGTTTCAAATGTATGCTACGCCAGGGTGTAATGGAAGCATCCCAACTGATGCTCGGGCAGCTCTATCCTCAATAAACCTGAAGGCATAGATTGCTTATTTAAGCCTCTGAATGTGTCTTGCCCAGTTGAATCTTCTAAATGTTTGGAAAGGTAGTTAAATAATACACATCTGCTTCTGTGTCATTTGTCGTATGATCCACAGTGATTTGGATGGAGATAGTCCAAAGGAGGCTATTGTGGTCATTCAGGTGAGGGGTGTCTGGGGCCAGGATAACCATGGGGGTGTAGAAGTAATTAGGAAAAATAAGGTAGAGAACTGGGAGGTAAATTAAACATGAGATGAATGGATTGAGGGAGAAAGAGTGAAAAAGATGTCCTGGGGTCTGGTTTAGACATTGAGTAGGGGTTGTTCTGGGAGGATGGTTGAGGTTGAGGTGAGGCTGGGGGAGGCGAGTTCAGTTTAGGAAAAGATCCAAGAGGGAATATTCAGTACACAGGTGGGTATATGCACCTGGAGTTTGGGAAAGAAATCTGTTCTAAAGGGACAAACGGGGGACTCAGAATATAAATGGTGACTAAGGAAATGAGAGTAGATAGGAAATTTCTTGTAAGAAGTTATTACAGAATGTGGGTTCAATTATTCTCAACAAATACTTTAATCATTTTCATTTAGTCTCTGGTAAGAGTATCCTTCACATATACTTACAATATATTAATATTTGTACCAATGAACAACAATAAAAATTGTTTTAAAAATATTTACAGCAGTCTGAGTATTAAAGTTTTTGATGCCCAGAGCAGACTAAACGAGGTAAGCATAGAAGTTAGAATTCTGAGTTCTGTTTTAAGGAGGCAAACTCTCCCAAACTTTGTGTGTTTATATAATCTAGGCTATATGTGTGTTTGTGTGTTTAACTATGTATACATAATGTAGTTTATGATGAATGCAATGATTTAATAAATATAACACAATTAACATTTATTTTTAAAAACACAAACTGCTTAATAGAAACATTTTAAGCAATTTAACACTAACACAAGATTTGAAAGCTGTGAGAAAAAGAATTAGAAATAACCTCTCTTAAGGCTAAAATGCCTCTAGCATCCAATCATCAAAAGACTGAGGCCAACTAAAAGATGGAAAACAAAGAGCCTCGGTTACCTGTGTTTTGAGTCTGGAGTGGAGCTTGTGATCTGACAACCAAGGGTGCTTGAGAGCTTCACTTGCACTTATTCTCCAACTAGAGGGAAACTCAGAGGGTTATTACTGGGAACACACCTAATGAGCCCTGCATCTGCCATTCAGCCTCAGCCCTGCATCTGTGCATTCAGCTTCAGCTCTGGCCACTGCCTTTGGGAAACCAGATGCCAAATGTTAAATTCGGCGTCAATTTGACTTCTCTGGAGTTATTATCAGTGTCATGTAGGTTCCCATCTAATTCAACAAGGGTAACAACATGGCTAAGGCAAAGCAAGGCAAAAAGTTTAAAATTCTTGTTAATAACTGAACATCTACTTTTAAATATAATGTGAATGAAAAGGGGCCACATGTTAAGCCTGACAAACTCATGGGAGGCCTGCATGATGGCCTTGCAAACTTGGAGACCTAAAGTAACCACACACAATGGTCTATATTTTAAAAACTTTCTAACTAAAAGCAGGCCATGGAGAGATGTCATGGCCTAGCCTGGAATATTCCCTAACAAAAGTCAGTCTTTATCTTAATTGAGCCTGACTATTGTCTTTTTGCATCTATGACAACACACCTGTGGAATGTCAGATTTCCTTTTTTTGGACCCCTCAAAGCACAGGCACCGCACCAGGGAGAGACCACAAATCCCTTCATTGTTATTGTTATCATGTTAACGATGACTGTTAACTATCCTTTTACCACTTGTGTAAAAGAAATATGTGTCTATCACTTTATTTTTTTATCCAATCCCAGAGGTCTCCCTGCTTTGCATTCCTTAGTTAATCACCCAGTGGATGTCATGTAACCCACCTGCACCTTCTCTTTTGATTGTAATAAATAAAATAAGGTGCAAAACTGCCATTTTCCAGAGCATTTTCTCAATACTTTGCCTCCCAGCAATTGTTGTCAGTTTGGCTCAAATAAACTCATACAAATTCTTATAGGTTTGGACATTTCTGATGTTGACAATAAGTAGCCATTCTTGATGTAATGTCTAAGTTTCATAAATTGAACTTTTATCATTCAGTTGAAAAATAAATGTACATTTATTATTGTAAGAAGAAAATGTTACAATGATTCTTGATGCCTGAAAAAGCAATGTATGTATTAAAACTGTTGAATAATATGTATTACTAACTTTTTAATTAAGAAGTTGTAAAGACTTAAACAGAGAAATAGGTGGAAAGTTAATATAAGTCCTGAGAGAGTTTTATATTCTGTGAAGTGGTATTTGATGTTGGCCTTAGGTTCAAGTATTGACCTGAATACCTAGCCAGTTGTCATTCTGCCCAAATGTATATCTGTGGCCCCGCAGGTATTAAGGCAACCTTCAGACTGAGGAGCTGTGTGACCACTTCACTGCTTGAAGCCTGTAAAATAATGGTGATAATATCCATGCACCTCAGGACACCCAGATGATTAAGTCAGATAACACACAAAAGTATATAACAGGTCCTCTAATAGCATCATTTTGGTCACTGTCATTTCCTTATAATGCTAAAAAGAAAAAAATCACTGTCAGCTGGGGCCACTATCTGTGGAGTATACCCTCTGTCCCCACATCTGCAAGGGTTTTCTCCAGGGACTTTGGTTTCCTCCCACATCCCAGAGCTGCACATATGAAATGAACTGGCATGTTTATAGTATCCCAGTCTGAATGACTCTGAGTGTGTGTTTGTTGTGTCTGCACTGGAAGGGTGTCCTGTCCAGGGTGGGTCCTGCTTGCACCCTCAGCTGCTGGATGGATTCTTACCACTTTTGACCCTGAAGTGGAATAAGGGGTAAAAAATCATTACTGTGTTTTTATTCATCTTTCTTAATGTATGTATAGCTCACCTTTATTTTTGGTATTTTGGATCATTATTTAGAAGTTTGTTGATGCTTCTGTGACCAGAAATATGTCATAGAAACTTAACTCTTGTTTATATCAATTAGCCTATGGTAAAACTGGTTTTGTTATATGTCATTTTGTTTAAAGTTGAGTTTCCAAGAACCTATGGATGACATTAAGCGAGGACACACTGTTATCTCTAAATAGGTTCTCAGTAAATGTGTATTTCTCATCTACCAAAGAGTTAATAGTTTTCCCTCTTCACTGCTTGACATTCAGTATTATAAATAATAATGGTAACATCAGATTTTTGTTAATGTACATTTCCATTAAAAATAAAACCCATGTCTGTTCATTATCCCTCCTCTAAGATTGAGACCCCAGCCTGACTGAGTCCTCCTTACCCCTTAGGACTTAGTTCTGGTCCTTGTCAGTATACTCATTTTTCATTATCCATATTGTATTATATTTTTTAAATACATATCTCTTCTATTAGACCATAAGTTACTTAAAGGCAGGTACTAAGCTTAATACATCTGCCCTCAATGTCTGAGACACATTCCCTGGCAGATTATAGGTAATTAATTAATTGCTTGGAGAAAAGAAACTTCTGTGTGTCAGGCACTCCCCAGACCCTTTCCCTATGTTGTTACCAGCCCCCCACTGCACCCTGCTATGCAGTGGTGCACGGTCATGTATATTAGTAACTTAAAAGCCCAAAAGATCACAAAACAATAAAGTATAGTTGGCACTGAGAACCTTAAAAACTACCTACTGTAATATGTTTTATATATAAAACTGTGTATTTGCCAGGGTAATGGTGATGTTCTTTCCCTATCTATAATTCTAAAATGCAAGCCCACTCTTCTTCATCCACTGAATTTTAAGTGAATGTTATTTTAGCATTGATAGAAAACAAGGCAATGGTAAAACAATAAGTGCATGACCTTGGGGGAAGGTATGCTTGTGTTTGACTACAAGTTCTACCACTTACTAGCTGTATGATCTTGGGAAAACTCTGAGAGTTTTATCCATAAAATAGTAATGATAATTTCTACCTCATAGAATTGGATGAGGATTGAAAGAGATAATGTCTATAAAGCCCATGGCATAGTCTGGCCCATCGTAGATTCTCAAATGAAATGATAGTCAAATGTTCAGTTCCACAGAGCTGTATATGTGCTTTGTAAATGTGAAAGGCATCATGGAAATAGTTTATGCCAAAGCCTTCATTCTGAGGCTAAGTCCATGGAGACCCAGCAAGAGCCCCTAATTGGTAGAGCCTTATTACGAAATTCAAAGGAGGGATAATATGCAACTCTATTCAAGCCTCATGACCAAAGCAGTCCCATATATTATTAAATTTGGTTAAGAGCATCAAATGATCCCTATGTACAACTTTACACAAGCATCAGAGGTTTTACTAAAGGAATTCAATAGTTATCTGACATGAACTCTAATAACCCTGGTAATATACTGCTCTTCTATTATCCCACCTTCTTCCAGAGCCCAGAATGAACTTGGGTTACCTTTTCTCCTTAATTAAAAGCTTGGAGAGGAACTCCTTGGCCTCCTCTGAGATGTTTTGAAATTCTTCTTCCTCTAAGTCCCACCTGCAGGCCAGGATGTTGTTCAGGGTCTCAGCATCATTATCACCCAGGAAAGGGGACAAACCACTAAGTCTATGAGAGACAGGGTCCAGAATGAGTATTTTTAAACAGCTTCAAACCCTTTACAGATAGGTTGCTTTATTTTTTGGTTCTGTCATTTAAAACTGAAATAAAGCAAATAACCTAAATTTAAACATAATTTTATCATATATCTTTGCAATGAAAAAGATGCTTACAGTCCCCCCGCCCCGCCTCCTATTAAAGAACTTCAGCAACCCAGACATCAGCTGCATCTGAATGTGCACTTCACAGACCAATTACAGAGCTGTGAATGTTTGTCATACACACACATGGAAAACACCAGTGTCACCTCTGAGGAGTAAAGCTAGCATTAGTCATTTAGGAGATCAGGACATAGGGTTTGTTTGTTTATTTGTTTTTTATTTTCAAGGCATTGAGTGGTGTCCTAGGATTTAAAGTGATCCATGAAGAAGACATACATTTACTTTTTCAGATGGTGTACAAGAAAAGAATTTACTCTTACAACCCCCAGGATTCAACAGAGCCTAGAAAGTAACTGAATATGGTACAAAATTATTTATTTTTAAAAGACCTAAATTAGAGCTCTTAGTCAAAATAGCAAAACCTCACAGAATAGGCATGATGATTAAAAATAAGTGTCAGAGAGATTGGAAATCTGCTTACAGCATATAGGCAATGACCCCCACGCTCCACATGTCAGTGGGAAAGGAAACAAAATCATAGTTCACAACTTCAGGGGCAAGAAATTCTGGAGTTCCAAAGTTCACCTTCAGCTTTTCTCTGGGTTTGTATCTGGAATTTAAGGGAAAAGTGAAAGGATGGAAACTGTCAATCACAAATTATGGAAATTGAAAAGATACATCCTATAAAAAATAACTTCAGCAAATTTAGAATAAATAGACTTTAAAGGAAATCACATAGTGTCAAAAACTTGTGATAAAGTTCTAAGAGTTTTAAGGCATACAGTAAAACATTAGTAACCTGAAACAGTTGTGAAAAAAGCCACTCAGAATAATTAGAAAACCTGAATTATAGAATGTGACAAAAGAAAAATTTACATGACCCTTGACATATAGATGCATTGATTAGGCCTTTATTGATGAATAAATGAAATGCAATAGTTTACAACATCTAGGTTATATTCATCGTTAATGTGTTGCAGTCCATGTGAATTTTTGTTCTCTTAAGAACCTTAGATGTGCCAGAAGTCTTAGCAATATTCTTGACACTACTAATTTTTTTCTCAGCACAGGTGATTCTCTTAATTAATTTTTTAAATTAATCTTTAAATCTCTTCACAGGTGGAACAAATATAAATGACTAAGGCAGACTTACAAATTGTAAATTAATGTTTTCAAATTTAATAACTTTCCTGTATTAGATTTTAATTTTTCTATTTTTTCTTGCATGCACTGTAGAAACTTCTAAACATTCAAATCCCAAAGTCAGAAAAGAAAGCTGAAACATAATTTTTGTTAAGTTAAATCTAAATGAGGATATGAAACCAACAGGTATATCTATCAGATTTATCTTTGCAAAGAAAGAGGACCCATGCTGCCTAACTCCATTCACACACCTATGTTTAAATAGACATACCTTCTGGCCAATCCAAAATCAATAATTTTTATTTGTTTAGTATCACGATTCACACACAGGATATTCTCAGGCTGCCAGGAGAAAGAGACACATTAGCAATGAAAACAACCATCATTCACTCAAATTGTCCTTGAACCACAACTAAAAATACAGCGATGCTCAGGAAAAACATATCAGGCCTTTCACTTTGAGACTGGCTTGTCTGTGTGGGTATTTTCTCTTTTAATTATGTGGTAGACGAGGTTTTGGGTACTATGCCAAACTTGCATTACCCTGCCTATTCCCTTTCCTGGTTCTGCAGTTTACCATGATGTGTGGGTTCAGGCAGAGGCCTTCTTGAAGGAATTTTAAAAAAAAAAGGAGGCTGCTTCAGTACTTTCTAAATGAACTGGTGGAAGGCGTCTCAAGCTTGAAATCTGCCCCTCTAAAATTATTGAGTATGAATTTTCCATTCTCGGAAGAATATTTTACCCAAGGATTTTTGAGTTCTAAGAGGAATGACTTGATTCATTCAAACAGGCACACTGAATATGCAATATAATGTGAATGCTCCTGACCTCCAGATTTTCCTTTGTGCTTAGTTTATGGCAAAGTCATATATCAAAAGAAGGCTTTCATTCTTCATTCTCTGCAATCCCAAAGTTTTGCTGAGTTTGGTCTCCATGCCTAAAACCCTTGACTAAGTGTTCCCTTGGAGTTTGACTCTGGTAAGATTTTGCTCTGCCCATCTCACAGCTTTGGGATGAACAGGGAGAAACATAGACAGGAGTGCTGTAACTGAGTGTTTACAGAATGTCTTACAAACATACCTTCACTTGTTAGGACTGAAAAACTGAGGTCAGGGATATATAAGAGATTTAATTTAAAGCTAAGATTATTCATAAAAAAAAATTTCAACAAATTACCTAGAATTCTCAAGCTATAATCCACCCCTACCCTTCCTTGATTGCTGCAGGGCATCAGCTGACCCACTGGATCCCCAGGATCTCTTGTCCCATCCTTTAGGTGGGATTCTGGCTGCCCTCCATCCCCATCTGGATGGAGAGGAGGTTCAAATGAGATCAGAAACTCTGAAAACACTTTATGAAATAACATAGTCCATTTGGTTAGGTATAATGTCTCTGGAAGCTCTTTTCTAAAATATCTCTAAAACAGATGTCTATGAGTAAAAACTTTTATAGAGAAGTGGGTGTTATGTAAGAACATTTGGTTTTATTCTTAAATAACTGATCAACCATGTACAAAGGGGTCCACTTGTCAAAGACTACTATGACATAAAAAAAATTATAGAATGTAAAAAAACAGCTTTGAGGGCACATCCAAAGTTAATTTTTTTCTAATAATGGATAAGATTTATAAAATACAGAAAAACATAAAGGAGACCATTTTTAAGTCACCTATAATCTCCTCTACATATGACAAGCACTCTTAATATTTTTGGCCCCTTTCCTTCCAAGAAGTTTTCTGAAAGGCATGACTGCTCATTAATGATCCATCCAGCTGTCTCCTTTATTATTATCTTTACATACAAGCCATAACTAAAATTACTCATTTTCAATCAACATTATGAAGCCACATATGGAGTTGTTTGACTTATGATGGGTCTGGCCCTAGTTCCAGTTGCCAATCAAATCCCTTTAGGAACATCTGTAGAATGTCCACACTCAATGAAATGCTCCATGAAAATACACATTATCAAACTCAGTTCATAGACAAGGGCTTTGCTAATGATTTTTAACCTCTGACTTTTTCATTTTATATACAACTTACTCCTGACCTGTGAATGCAAGAGGCAGTGCACATAAATCAAGACAGTGAGAGAAGCCAAGTTACAAGAAGATGGGCCCCTGGGACACTCTTTAAGGAGGTTAAATGTATTTAGCTCTACAACCCCTAATGTCTTACCATAGACAGTATGTTATATGGAATACTTTATCCCACTGCCATGCTGTGCAAACAGGGAAATGAGCAAGTGACTGAGCCACACAGGAGATTCACTTCATGATGCTCAGCCCCAGTATCAGAGCTGGTCAGAGTTATTGGCCCTGGATCTTTCATTGGTTTAACTAAGTACAATTCTAAGGACTTTACAATGGGAGAGAAATCAAAGGGAAACGGTCATTAAATAAGGGAAGAAATGAAGGCATCTTGCATCCCGGCTGTTCACAAAAGCTTTTCACTACTTCCAGTGTGTTGTCCAGCCCCATGCCACCACTCCTTTCTGTTCCTTAGGATTTTATCACTACTTTTCTAACTGTTTTATATCCCATTCTGCCATTGGTTTCTCCTTAGTGCTCTAGCATGCCCACAGAAAAATAAGTCCCTAAAGTCCAGAGCTTCCTGCTGGGGACTCTAGGAGAGCTGACAAGTGTGGCTACTGCTAGAATATTTTGAGTTAGGAAAATTCTCCCTCATACTTAACATACAACGACAGGAACACAACAAGGGTACCACACTGGTGATGGTGGTAGGTAGTTTTGATTCAAAACTTTTAGAAAGAAAATTACCTCCCATGAGGGTTACCTTAACACAGGCAAGTTATAAGAATCTGAATACTAGTCTCTAAAAAAGGAGGCATGCAAATATTAAGAGGTGACAGAAGTTGGAAATGGAGGGAGATGAGTTTAAGAATCTGGATTTTTATTAATTCTTAAATATGTACCTAGTGACAGAATCAGTGTTCCAACCTGACATGTGGTATCTGATAGGGCCCTCTGATCCACATGAGGGGAAAGGTTGGGGCACAAAGCATGCTGTACCTTTAGGTCCAAATGGAGAATGTACATCTGATGCATGTGTTGTATTCCCTCACATATCTGCTTGATGAACAGGATGGCATCAAGCTCAGTCAGACTGTAGTTGTCATCAATGATCCTGTCAAAGAGCTCACCTCCATCCACACTGCAGAGGGAAGAAGAGTGGAGTCCTGAGTCATGATTCTTTTATTAACATGTTTTTCTTGCAGTTAAGCTTCTTTAACTCTTCCAACAGAGACATGTACACAGTTATTTCTCTGCCTTCTTTGCTATCTCAGTAAGATGACTCTTGGGTTGAAGGCCCTTGTCTTATCTACCATCAATTTCACAAAATCTCCAACTCCCTTTCATCCAGTGGCTACAGCTCTGAGGTGAGTCCACACCTGCCATCTTCTAATATACATGGAAGTAAAGAGGACTCTAAGAAGACAGAGAGAGAAATTCCAAATACCAGCTGAGAGTTAGGCAGGTTCTCCTAATTTCAGTGATAAAGTGCTTCTATGTGGCTAATACTAAATATTTAGTATTCAAAAACTTTTTATTGAACAGTGAAAAAAAACCCAAAGTGAGGGAGAAAAATGAACTGAATCATATCACTGATTCAGTGTTACTTAGAAATACTCAATTTCTAACTAAACACTTATTTAGCTTTTATAAAGCTGATTTCAAATGGAAGTTTCTTAGCCCTAATTATTAAGAGTTTGATATGAAATTTGTATTGGTGATTAGGTTGAAAGTGAAATGCAGTTCAAAAATCACTTTCCTCCAGGTTAACTAGAGTAATATTTAAGCTGGATTTTTTGACAGTATAGCTTACATATAAAGTTAGATATATGTTGTCATCCTAGTTCTTATTAATAAAATTATATATAAAGATATCTATTTCTAAGTAATTTCCTTTCTGAAACTGATGAGATTATATCACACACACAAGTTAAAACCAGTGGTGTACCAAGTATGAATCTAGTAATTTCTGAGGTAGGACAGAGCTACACCCTGTGGTCACCAGTGCTGTGAGACTCTCTGAACATGTGTGCTCAGCTATACAGGGAAGTGGGAGTGGGGGGAGAAGGGAACACATACTACTCCATGATGAGGACAATGTCATTCTTAGACTCGAAGGCATCATAGAGCTGGATGAGGTTCACATGATCCAGATGATTCATGACAGTGATCTCATTCTTCACTTCATCCTGAGGAGAGGGAGAAACACTTAGTGGAGTGAAGACAACAGCAAGAAGAGAGCCACATCACACGGCCTTTACCTTATCCTTCCTGCCTCTGGTCTTGATGACCTTGGCAGCCAGCTTCAGACCTGTTGCTTTCTCTTCACACTTGTGAACCTGGCCAAAGCGCCCCCTGCCAAAGAAGAGGATGAAGTGCAGCATGGGGCTCTGTCCCTACCAGATCTGGCTTCAGTCACTGGCAAGTAGACCAGGCAGTTGTCCCAGGCATTTCTCTTTTTAAGTTTGAAATTGCTGTAGCCAATAAACTTCTGCAACAGTGTCAAGGTGCCATCTGTGGGTCCCCGGCATCAGAATCTTCTAAGGTAGGAATACATGTTCCCCAGCTTTACCTACACCTACTGAGATAGGAGTCTGAGGTGAAGCCCCAGAATCTGTATTTCACAACATTCCTTGGGTAATTAATATACATCCTAAAACTTGAGAACTCTGTTATGGAAAAATGAGAATCATTCTGAATACCTATGAATGTAATAAGCTAGGCTTTGGAAACATGTGAACAATACAGGTTGTAAACAGGCATATCAAATTTTTTTTTGAAACTGCACAATAAATAAAAAATAATATTACATACAGACACATATAATCAAAAATACATATTACATAATCATTTATGAGCTTGTTGACACTTTAGCCTGGATATAAATGTATATATGCACATTGTAAAACAGTTTCTTACAAATTAATCACACACAGAAATGCACCCTCAGCAATAATTTTTAAATCTGACTTGCTTGCTTTGATTCCTGATTTAGAAAAATAGGTAGAACACTGGTGCCTGCCTGTGCAATGGTGGCTATCATAGCAGGAGCAACCAGGAAGCTTCCCTAACAACATTGTCAACCTAAAGCCACTGAATTCTTAGAGGACTGCAGAGCTGAGGGTCTTAACAACAACCAGCAAAGGAAGGGTGATGACTACAGCCACATTCCATTCAACTCAGCTACACACTGCAGGCAGAAACAGATGTGTCCATAAACATAGCCAAGTGATACCTTCAATTTCAACCACCACTCAGACGTTCTTTACTGGAACACATGAACATGGTCCCAGGAATCTCACATGTGCCTGCTGATTAAAAAAAAATGCTTTTTCTCTAGATTAGCAAAAGCCCCCAGAACTGCCTGGCCCATCAGAGGGTTGATATCATGTTTAACTTCAGCACTACCTCAACTGTCTCACATGACTTATTCTGCAAGTGCTTTGAATGATTAAGCCACTCCTCCCAGTATTCCTCCTGGTCCACCATACCAATAAATTCCTCCTACCTGAATATGTTGTGTTGGGATTATAATACTCCCACAGGTTGGGAGATGAACCCCAGGAAAATTCAGGGACCTGCCACCACAGGCAAGCTTTTTAGAATCCAGTGATCCTTTCCCAAAAGTGAAAAATAATTTGTTGCATATGGACTTCTTATTACTGCAAAGGAGAAATGGCAGTTTATGCTCTCTTGCACAATACACATTTGATTGTGTTCTCCTAACTCATTTACTGAATGAGTATGGCACCACTTTTGAGTACAGCCCAGACAAGAGATGACCAGCAGCTAGTCCAGACTGCACTGTGACCAAGAAGATCCAATGTTGCCTGAATAGGTGGAACGGAACTTCTTAAGGAACCATTGACAACCTTGACCAGAAGCACAGCACCAACCCATGGACTGTTTCAAAGCCTCTTCTGCCAAATAACTGCTCTCCTTTAGAAAAACAGTTGCTAGCTTGCCACTGAAGTCCCTGAAGACCCAAATAAGCCACCACAGGCAGTAATACTTCAGATCCATGACACCTACTCATGTTTCAGAATTCCCATTGTTCCCTCAGCTCATCCTCACAGCCTCAGGGAGAGTTCTCCACAATCAGCCAGCTGAGGAGGAAAAAGTTCAGGTAGTTCTGTGTGGCAAGGGGCAAAAAAATATAGAATGTGAAGAGGAAGAAGGGATTTTACAAATATCAACCATACATCTAATGGCCAATTGCAGAAACATGCATTAGAGTAGCTATGGATATTTTCCAATGTGTTGTTAAGTAAATTTTCTGCTTTCTGCTTTGTCTTCCTATTCTATATATATGCTTGTGGCTGTGAACTTCATAATTTAGGTTTTAAATGACAAGATATCATGGGGAAATTGTGACTGATGTAGAAGAGGAAGAAATATCCCTGGTAAGGGTCTCAATCCCTGTTAACCTTACTCTTGCTTCTTCAGGGAAAGACTGTGCATTTAGATGTCCTTCAAATAACTCCTTCTGTGAAGAAAACAATTGACTGAATGCATAATAGTAATGAACACAATAACAACATAAATGGAAAACCAACAATTATAAAAACAGTTTAGCAAATGCTGCAAGAAATATAGTGTTCACTCATTCTTACAATTTATTTCTCAATTTCCAAACTTTGAACAACCTCTCAACCTTCTGGTGACTCATGGTGGGTTTCTCTCACTTTCAGGAATTGCAACAAGGGACGCAAAGGAAATATTAAATGTGGAATTTAGTCACTGTTGCCACATCAACCTTTCTGGCATCAGTGATGATTTTCAGAAATGGTTAAAATCTCTTAAAATGTTTAGTTATGATATTTCTGATTCTCAGGTTGAGACTAGCAAATATTTGTGAAACCCTCAGGATCTGTCTCTTTGAAAGTTCTCTTCTATTGTTTAAAGTGTGTTAAAACCAAGCACGACTTACCCTCCTAAAATTTCTGTTCTGCTCACGGTATAAAAACTGTTGATGGCTGTCTGTTTGGCTGTTACAATCCGGTGATGAAAGGGTGCGGGAGGAGCCAGGCAGTCATCTAGAAGGTGAGAGGGAAAGAAGGGCCATCTGTTAAACAGTCAGAACTCTTTATTACACAAGCATGAGACCTCAGAGTGAAATTTTGTGCATTTAATAATAAAATATAAAAGGCCATCTGTTTTATTCCTAATGATCTAGGGAATATAAATTTTCATTTCATGTTATGATATGTGATTCCCAAAGGCGATACCTGACATCTTTGAGAAAGAATGTGAGGACCACTAATCTATGGTTCATACTATCTCAGGACAACTTTTAGAAATAAAATCTTCAACCTCAATACAGCGCAAATAGGTTATACTTCCAGGCCTGAGGCTATTTATATTCAAACATGAAATATTATTTGTTCCATTTTTAAGAACCACAAATGTAGTCCATTATTTTAATTAAAGCAGAAAGAGAAAAACGTAAAATGTTCCTTCAAGTCATTGAAATGTTTGATGTTATTACATATTATTTTACCAACTATTTTAGCCTTTATTTAAGATACACTTAAGACACAATCATGATTTTTTTTTCTGGCTGGAAATAAAAGGCCCAGTAAAACTGGCTAAAGTATATATTCCACAGCTCTCAAATTTCTCCCACTTTCTACCTTCTATCCTAAGTGTTTAAACTATAGTTCACCTCAGGATTAGTTCTAAAATACAAAATCATATTCTTCCAGTATTCTTTTTACTTTTCCATGATTACTGCTATTAAAGTTTTCTTGCTGTGGATGTATTCATGTCCCCATTTATCCATTATTTAGCATCTATTGCATGTACTTTCTTACATACATACAAAAGATAGAAAAAGATGTGAATAGATAATAACTTTGTTTTCAAAAATTTATATTTATTCAGCATATAATTCTCAAATACTTGTGTTAGGCATTCTGCCAAATGTTAGTATTTTTTAATTGAGATAATATAAATCTCTGGGAATCTGATTTGATATGGACATTCACCTCCCACACCATAAAGAAGTCACAAAAGAATTCTGTTGGTGGCATTCATCTCTTCAGATAAAAAATGATCGAGTTACATTCAAAAATAGCATCAATATGGCATAATGTCTCCTTCAGGCTGTTAGGCTCGGTGAAATTTAGTTGGAAATGCTTGCTGAAGAGGTTGAGAAACTTGAAAAGGCTGAAACAAATTTGTTTCCTACCCAATGGAGTCACCAGATCTCTCTGTCTGGAGGTTTGAATTCCAGTGGACCCCAGGGGTTGGCCTTGTGAGCTCCCCTGGACTTGTCTGATTTCCTGTGTCCTTCTCAATGTGTGTCCTTCAGCTGTCCTTGCTACATCTGTTCTGCACATTTTGCTGTCTTCTTTGATGAATCGTTCTTCCATCATGCTCTGCGTACTACTGATAGCATGCTCTGTTTGTTCAGCATTCTGGAAAATGGGTCTTATTTCTGCATTTCCCAGGACTCGTGATGTAGAAATGGCTTTTACATTGCTGATAGACCTGGAAAATAAAACTCAGCTGCAGCTCTCATAGTTTTGGTCAAATGGCTAACTAAAGCTGCCTCAAAATGATGTTTTGGTGAAGGGTCTTAAGCTTCATGATAGATAGTTGGCAGTGTCAGTTTTGGGGGATAAAATGGAATAATATGCTTCCCTATCAGATCTGAGCATCAAAAGAGGATCCCAGAGAATCTTGCCAATGACTTCATTTGGACCCTAAATTATTCCATCGACCCTTTATAAAAGCAGTCATTTCATGAATACCTAACTGACTTGACCTTTATTTTTTCACTTCCTTTATAAAATAGAGAAATGACTAAATTAAAGCACAATAAAAGAATCAGTAATCTCTCTGAATATTAGCAGTGAGAATTAGCCTTTATGGGTAAAAGGTTTGACCTCATTTCAGTTTTGTAAGAGCTCCAGACCTTATGAAGCACATCTTTGAGGCAAAGATTATTTATTAAAAATGGAATAAAAATTGTATCTTAAATCCTTTTAAAAAAGACCATAAATGTTTGGATATTTTATGTTCCAAATAAATTCTGTGGCTCATCATTGTGTAGAATAATTAATTTTAATTGGCTACATAATTACCTGCATTTACATGTGAAACTTTGCAGTTGAATAGGACTTATTCAATAATCTACTTCTTACTCAATCCTCACAATATTGGGGGGAAATAGCCAATTTATCATGCAGAAAGGGGTAGATAAACTTTTTAAGAACTCTATTTTAACTTATAAATAAATCTGATCATCATTCAATTCTTGATCTTAAGGATGTGCTCTATATTTTAGAAACAAAAAAAATTTACTTGATCCATTAAAATATTGATATATTTGAGTACTGGTAATCATTATCATTGTCTTTCAGTTGATAGGAAGCTTAGAAAACAATGAAATGCATAAAAATGTCACAGGAATGAAGAAAAAATAATGGCATGAAAACATGACTGAAAAAAATCTACACACATGAAAACTAGTTTCTAAACCATTGCTTTAAAAGCTTACTTCAGTTATCCCATTGATATGGCCTTAAATTGCAATGACACAGCCTTATAAAAAAATATCAATTATAGATGTATAATGTTTTTACCCCTACCTTTTATAGAACTGATCACCATTAGTTTTATTATCATTTTGCTTTTTATTTGAACTCTTGTCCATCACTGCTTCATTTGTAATCGATGACCCCCCTTTTTTCTCAGGTTCTCTTTCACTGGTATCTTCCTTAGAATGAAGCCCATTTTCCTTTTCTTTGAACACTGGACATTCATTTTTATCCACAGTAGCTTGTCTATCATCTCCAACACTATTATTTTCTTGTCTGTTCACTCTCTGTGCGCATAAAATTTCTCTTCTAGCTGTGTCTTCTCTTGGCTCTATGGACTTTCTTAGAGCAAAATCTTCTACCTCATCACGTGATCTTTTTGTATGAAATGTGGCAAAACTTCTCTGAACTAGAGAGGCATTGGTCTTCTCAGAATTTTTCTTGTTGAGTTTATTAACCTTTTCTTTGTCATAGGAAGGCTGGTTCTTCTGGGAAGATCTCTCTAAAAGCCACCATAGGATACAAATATTTTAATGGAGGATGCATTACAATATATGATCAGTATAATTTTATCTTCCTATAATGGCATCTCTATTCAGGTTTGTTTTTTCAACAGATAAAAGCTTTTGAAAAGCAAAGTAGAAGCGAACATGACCTACTGAACAATTAGATTTTCAAAGATTTTCTAGTTTGTAACTAGTAGAATCCAAAACCAATCAAATAAAGATATTTAGACAGCACTTCTCCAGACATGGGACTATGAATGTGTAACTTCCTCTGAATAAGAACAACAGGACTTATATAACAGAGCTTTCTCTCTCCACGAATATCTAGTCTTCTAAAGCTGTTACCTGTGAGGGCTGATGTCCTCTTTCCTTGGATAGATGCCATTTCCTTCAGGTCGGGGTATAACCATACCTTCTCCTTAGCCTGTGGATACACAATTGAGTAATTGAGGTTACATATCACACAGAGTTTCTCAGCCTTAGAAGTACTGACACTTGGGGCTGGATAATTCTTTATTGTGGGAGATGCTATGAATACTATAAGATGTTTAGCAGCATCTCTGGCATCTACCAACCAGATACCAATAGTATCCTCCCTCCTAGTTGTAACATTCAGAATGTCTTTGGACACCACAGTGGCAGAGGCCATGAACCCACTGCTGCCACAATAGACAACCCCCACCCCCTCCCCCATCCCCACAGTGACCAGTCCACACCATCACAACCGGGGCAGCACCCCCACCCCACATTGCCAGACTGGTGTAGTAAGAGGAAGAAGGAGGTGTCCTCCAAAGAGGACAGCAGCAGGGCTCAGGGAGTTAGCAGTCCCCAGAAAGACTTAACTCACTGGGGGAGCTAAACTATCGTGAAGAGACTTTGAGAGTGCCTAGCACCTAGGACAGCAAAGAGCAAGAAGGTTGTATGTGAGTTTCCCCTAATTAGTGCACCTCAAGGACAGCACAACTGATAGATTGAAGGCCCTGGCTTGGGGCAGTGTGGGCCTAGCAGTGAAAGGAGGAACTGGGCTGGAGACTAGGCCATTGTGAAGATTTTGGCCCAAACCTGGCCCCCATCCTCACAAAACTGTAGGAAGGAAGAAAAGCAAAGCTCAACCCCCCTCAGCCTGTTGCAGCCAGGAACCAGCTGAACTGGCTGGGCCAGTTTGAAATCAACATGAGTCTTTTTTTTTGTTTGTTTCCAAAGTGAGACAATAAGACCTGGAGCTATAAAAGGAGGGATCACAAGGCTAATTCCAACAACTGAGAAACTGAGACAAATTTCACTTTGCTTTTTAAGAGAGCTTGCATGCTATTGTTTATATGTATTTTATTATTTTTTCATTATTTTTTCTTCTTTTATTTTTTAGTATTTTTTACACCTCTTCTTTCTGTTTAGTTTTCCTTGTTTTATTTGTGTGTTTAATTGCATTGTTTGACTGATTCTCCTTATTTTCTCTTTCATAGTGTATTTTAATTTTCCTTCTTTCACTTCACTTGTGTTCCAATAGCACACTACTCTAGGTCATGTAGTTCCTATTCTTGTTATTCAGATCATATAGATTCTGTCATATGACTGTTGTTCCAGTATTAGTGTAAATAATTCTTGTTCCATACAATTGTAAATAACACACAACACCCCACCTGGATCTTAGTCCACTTCACTGTCTTCCAGAATTTTATTACTGTTGTGGTTAACTCTATTCTTTCACACACTATGCCTATTTTCTATCATTTAATCTCACTATATCTCATAATCTGACCTCCCACAAACTCTCTGTTTTCTGGATTCAACTCACAATCCTTCCCACCTCTAACAAGAGTCTTATCTCTTTTCTACCCTTTCTAAAAAGTGGCTAGTTGGGTGAAATATCACTGTTAATACTATATTTATACAAAGAATCTCCTATCTCTTCTCTATGGATTGATACTTTAAATCCCATAGAATATACTCCCCCTATTGTAATCCATTTTGCCTCTCCCCTCCAACTGATCACATAAAAGAGTAGGTGGGAGCTGCAAACACTAATACACCTGCTGGAAGAGAGAATACACCAAAAAATAAACCACCAACAGATAATAAAAGAAGGTGGCAGAGGAGTGAGTGAAAGCCACATTAAATTTGGAATTACAACTAAATTATGAAGAAATTATCCAGAACAAACAACTGAACAACAGAGAGAGAAGCCTCATAACCTTGGACAGACAGAAGAACCAGCTTTGATAAAACCTGTCCACACCTGCACAACAGCATACAAAACGTGGTGGTAAGAGTGACCCTCAGTTAACCAGCTGGTGGGAAGGACCCACCAAAGAAAGACCCAACAACAATCAAAACCCAAAGACATCCAGAGAGCCATCACAAATAACATCTCAAGAGCAGCAAGTTCAGGAGATCAAGGAGACTGCACCACTGAATCTCACAGGTTTCCTACCATAAAAGTTCACACCACGAGCCTAGGGAGTCAGAACAGATCAATTTAAGGAGCAGAAGCTAATAAGAAGAGTCTCGCAAACAATGGGAAGGCAAAGAAACAATCCAAAAATGAAAGGAAAGAAGGAAGCCTCAGAAAGAATGCTAAATGAAATAGAGGCAATTCAACTATCAGATATTGAGTTCAAAGAAATAGTTATTAGGAAGCTCAATGAGCTCACAGAGAATTACCAAAAACTAAAGGGAAACTGTGATGAACTCTTTGGAAACTATATTAACATGAAAAAGGAAAGAGAAACTATCAAAAAGGGCCAAGAGGAAATGGAGAATACTATTTCTGAATTAAAGAACACAATAGAAGGAATCAAAATCAGACTAGATGAAGCAGAGGGTTGAATCAGTGAACTGAAGGACAAGGTAGAAAAAAACTCTCAGAAAGAGCAAGAAAGGGAAAAAAGACTCAGAAAGAATGAAGAGGTATTAAGGGAAATGCAGGACAACATGATACCTACTAATATCCATATAATAGGGATACCAGAAGGAGAAGGAGAAGAGCAAGGGATGGAAAACCTGCCTGAAAAACTAATAATGGAAAACTTCCCTAATTTGATAAGAGAAAAACTCACATAAATCCAGGAAACACAGAAAGTCCCAGTCAAGAGGAATGCAAAGAGGCCTAACCCAAGACACATCATAAATAAAAGGGAAAAATTCCAAGACAAAGACAAAATCTTGAAGGCAGCAAGAGAGAAATAGGAAGTAGCATACGAGGGAGCCCCAATAAGGCTAGCAGCTGACTTCTGAACAAAAACATTATGCCAGAAGGGAATGGCAATAAATATTCCAAGTAATGAAAAAGAAAGGCATGCAAGGAAGACTACTCTAGCCAGCAAGGCCCTCAATTAAAATGTTAAATGAAATAAGGAGTTTCCCAGACAAAAGATGCCCCAAAGAATACACCTCCTCCAAACCAGCACTGCAAGAGATGCTAAAGAATCTGCTTTAAGAAAAGGAAGAAAAAGAGTGAGAGAGAGAGGGGAACACAGTATAGTGGAAATAAAATGGCAATGAATAAGGACCTATCAATAATAACCTTTAATGTAAAGGGAGTAAATGCTCCAATCGAAAGACATAGAATAGTGGAATGGGTAAGAAATCATATGCTGCCTACAAGAGACCCACCTCAGAACAAAAGACCTACACAGATGGGAAGTGAAGGGCTGGAAAAAAATATTCCAAGCAAATGGACAGGGAAAAATAAGGGATATCAATACTCATATCAGGCAAAATAAACTTTAAAACAAGAACCATAAAAGAGACTCAGAAGGACACTTCATAATGATCAAGGGAAAAATACATCAAGAAGACATAAACATTGTAAATATATATGCACCCAAATTAGGAGCATCCAAATACATAAGGAAAAACTTGGAGGATTTCAAGAAAGATACAGACAGCAACACAATTACAGTAGGGGATTTTAACACCTCACTGTCAACAATGGATAGATCTTCCAACAAAATATCAACAATGATATTGGGGCATTGAACATGTCCTAGATCAAATGGATTTAACTGATATATGTAGAACCTTGCATCCCAAGCAAGCAAAATACACATTCTTTTCCAAAGCACATGGAACATTTTCAAAGACAGACTACATGATAGGACACAAAACAAGCCTCAACAAATCAAGAAAATTGAAATCATATCAAGCATTTTCTCTGACAACAAGGGCCTGAAACTAGAAACCAACCTCAAGGAAAAAACTCGAAAACACTCAAATTCATGGAGATTGAATAGGATGCTATTAAACAATGAATAGGTTAAGAATGAGATGAAGGAAAAAATTAAAAAATGTCTGGAAAGAAATGAAAATGAACTCAAACCAATCCTAAACTTACAAGAAACAGAGAAAGTAGTCCTCACAGGGAAGTTCATAGCAATACATGCCCACCTAAAAATGATAGAAACATTTCAAATAAACAATCTAACCCTACATCTACAAGAACTGGAGGAAGAACAACAAAGACAGCCCAGAGCAAGTAAAAGGAAGGAAATAACCAAGAGGGGAGCAGAATTAAACAACATAGAGACTAAAAGAACAATTCTAAGGATCAATAAATCCAGGAGCTGGTTCTTTAAAAAGATAAACAAATTCAACAAGACTTTAAGAAGACTCATCAAGAAAAAGAGAGGACCCAAATAAACACATCAGAAATGAAAGAGGAGATATTACAACTGGTACCACAGAAATTACTATGAAGAACTATATGCCAAGAAATTTGAAAACCTAGGTAAAATGGACAAATTTCTAGAAAAATATGATCTTCCAAAACTCAATGAAGAAGAAACAGAAAGTCTGAACAGAACAATAACAGCTGACAAAATTGAAGCAGTAAACAAAAACTCCCTGCACACAAAAGCCCTGGACCAGACAGTTTCACACAATTTAACAAAAAAAAAAAAAATAAGGAATAGATAACCCCTATCTTTCTCAGACTATTCCAAAAAATCCAAGAATATGGAAGACTCCCGAACTCTTTTTATGAAGCAGCATCATCCTAATCCCAAAACCAGATAAATACATAACAAAGAAAGAAAACTACAATCCAATATCGCTGATGAGCATAAATGCTAAAATCCCCAACAAGACATTGACAGACTGCATCCACCAATACATTAAAAAGATCATACACCATGACCAAGTGGGATCATTGTAGGATGCAAGGATGGTACAATATTTGCAAATCAATAAACATAATACATCACATAAACAAAGGACAGACAAAAATCACAAAATCATATCAATAGATGCAGAAAAAGCATTTGATAAGGTATAGCACCCATTTATGATAAAAACACTCAGTAAAATGGGAACGGAGGTAGCATTCCTCAACATAATAAAGTCCATGTATGAAAGACCTACAGCCAACATCATACTCAATGGACAAAAATGAAAAGCTTTCCCATTAACATCAGGAACAAGACAAGA